GGACCGTTTGAAAGTACGATAGCGACGAGCGCGGCGGCTTCCATCACCCATGACAGGGGGTTCCACATAAAACTCAAGAACTGAGCAGAATTAATCAGAAACGTGCGCCTAGAGAAACTAAAAGACTAGTAACCTGAAGGAATGGATTCTGTTCCTCAGATTCCAGTTTGTTGGGGCCAAATAGCTCGAGTCGTCGTTGAGCCTCCTCATGGTTCAACCCCTCCGCAGTGCACTGCAAGAGCTTGAAGACATCGTCGATAACGATAGTTTCCAAGTCAACTTTTTCCTTGTCGTACAAATCCTCTGCCTTTAGTTCGATCTGCAGGGACGCACGTTCGTATGAGCCAAGCAAGATTAAACACATTGAAGACGTACCGTGGACATATCGACCTTGACGTCTATACGCGCGTCAGAACCGCATAGAACAAGTTGAATAAAATCAACGAATCACGAGTTGCTTTCTCGTCGTCATGGCCAAAATCCTTATACTGCCTCTTTTTTCTCTCTGGCTCCTGGATGGGGGCGTCGGTAGCATCACCCTGAGGATCGTTTGCGACGGCGCTCATGGTGGCAAAGTCGCTTCCAGGAAGAAGAAGATTGCGACCAGGATAGAGATGTTTGACCTTATTATGTAGTTCCCAACCTATCCATGAGAAATTTGCGGGGCCGCAGATGAACCGACTCGGAGATTCCAATCTGTTATGACAGCAGAAATACATACGAGATTTCATCGCTTTTCTGAGGAATATATGCGTTGCGTTACCTCGGTGCCTCGCTCGTTCCGGGTTTCGACGACGTCCGAAGCGCAGCCAAAGGGCCATGAGGACAAAACGCCAGTCGCACCCGTCCCATCAAACAAAAATTCGAGGCGATCAAGGTTGAGGCCGAGGGATATTCGCGTTCGTCCGTGCACTAGGAGGTGATAAAACAACTCTTTCGTGGAAAATCGGGTTGTTACAACTTACCAGGGCTTTTGCCGATCATGTGCATGAGGTCCAACCTCCTCATGTTCTCAACTCCAACTCGGCTCAAAACCCCTGCCATCCTCGCGTACCTCAGATGATTGGCTAAATTTGAAGCTCGAGGGCTCAGCGCTCAGCGCCAGCTGCAACAGTGCAAGTGACAGAGAAGGTGCGCAGTGATGAAAGTGTGGTCTCTGCTGGCGGAGGGACATCATCGTACGTAGTTTTTTCTGTGGAACTGGGGTCTCCTCGTTCTCTCGGATTGACACGGTGAATCGCACGAACTGACCCGTCGCCGAAGTTTGTTGACGGACGTCGGACATATCAAACTCTCGCTTCAACGTTTCCAATCGTTCCACCAGGTCCTGCACCCATCCTGGCTCCAAGACGACATATCGTCGTCCGGCGATACGAGTCCTCCAGCTCGTCGTCAAGCCTTCCTGCTGTTGAACCATGCCCTGCCCCAAGACGACGTATCGTCCTCTGCCAATCGGTCCCATGCCACCTTCCACCATGCCATGGGTCTCCGATGCTTCGAGACGACGCATTGTCATCCGCTAAACGCGTCATCTACGTGTGGGTCATGTCGGATAACATTGGTAGCGGATGAAACTTGTAAAAGACCAAAACAAAAAGGTATGTTCAGTCTTTCGAGACCCCAGGCATGATTACTTACTTTTTTGAAGGTTCGTGTACGTGCGTTCCCCGCTTTCGGCCTTTACGACGTCACCAACTACACCCTACCCGCCTTGAAAGAGTTGTGAAGAGTCCATTGTTGATCTTGAAAGTAAGTCGTTAGTTTTTGTCTTTATGCGAGTATCCATGGACTTACCTTTGATTGAATTCAAAGTTTCACCACGTTATCGCCTCCAATCCGCCCTGCCAAGATCCAACGGACGTATCGACCGTCGGCCAAGCGTGGTGGAAACGTCGTTCAAAGACGACACCCGTGATAGCTGTCAGATATGCATGAGTTTTGGATTCATTTGAATTCTGAGTGTTCACTTACCTCCTTTACAAGGTCGTAAACACGCGGTACCGGAAGTGTATAGACAGTAAACGGATGGGTATAAAGGCGAGTGATGTGGGGAAGTGTTCGCGACTCCGCGAATCGCGAGGCAGGGTTAGTTTACGTGTGCTTGTTGTTGCATGAATGCCCGTGAGAATGTCGGAAAAACCCAGGAAGCCTTATAAGGCAGGTAAGGCAGGTAATCACAGGAACGAATTGTAATCCAATTATAATCAAGGAGAAATGTACTATAATACATAGGGACAAATTATAAGGTACCAGATAATTGTAAATGAATCGAAAATTTGTAGTGAGCTCCTAGCTCAATTGTAATGTGTGCGTTTCTTACTAGTTAGTTGTCTTATTATTATGGAACAGTTGTTATTAGCGGGGATCGAACTCTGAGCCTATTGATTACTTACCTTGTTTTGACTTGCTTATTGACTTGTCTATACTTTCCGCTGGGCTATGGGGGCATATTTAGGTACAACCTCTAGTTCTTCATAACGAGCGCCGCGGCTGACCCTTCGACAATACAGAGTTCATACAGAGCACTGTTCTCCCTTCTCGTAAACTTAGCTATAGTTTCCCCACCCAACATCATATGCACATTCTCTTGCTTTATGGGGTTCAAGCACTTGTAAAGCTGATTGAAGAAGGTCAGTACATGCTCGTATTTTTCGAGTTCAAAGGTATATTCTTATGCTTGTTGTTTTTAGAGAAATTGTGCCCTCTTTTCCTGATGTTTTGGGCTCTTGAGAGCAGAGACCCAGATAATGGAAGCTTTCCGTGTCTAGAAGGCAGTGAGATATCCATGTATAGCATGTGATCGGTATTGCGTAGGATGAACAAAGTAACATAAGTACTCGCCTTATTCCTCACAATCCTATCCCAGCTCGTAAATGCGAAACGCCCACCGTCTATAGTGTATACGTCTGTTTCTCGCAATTCCGTACCCTTCTGACGGCGTTCACGCATTAGATTTGAACATCGAGTCTTCATGTAGTATCGAGTCTTCACGTACTACGTGAAGACTCGATGTAAGGTGAGTAATCAAAATGTACATGACCATTACATTCTATCCCAGTTCATAAAAACGAAACACCTGCCGTCCATAGCAATTCCGTCCTTTCTAGTGGCGTTCACACATTAAATTTGAATGTTGCGTCTTCACATATGTTTTGTTGTTGCCTTGTTTGTCTTCATGCATGTCGTTTCGATTTGTTGTATGTAGCAGAACGAAATCTAATACATTTTGTTAATAAAAAAATTTGTGTAACAGAAAATACGGAATTCAGTGTCGCATGAAACAAAGTTCTGTTGAAATATAAGATGGGGTACATGAAGTGTACTTACTTGCTGGCCCTTCGTGGTTTTCCTTTGTTGTTGTATACATACATCGGACATGTGTATACCTCGTCGTTCCAGCTGTCGCAGACGTCAACGTGTTCTGTAGATGTCCCTCATGCCATTGACCCAACATATTGTCATCGGGTATCTTGGTTAGGCTGCAAAAGTATTTCATTAGTGCTTTCATTTGTTGTCAACATCTTGACTTACAGTCTTCAGGTAGGTGTTCTATCTCGTCTTTGGAAGTGTTGTGAAACAGAGAAGTTGAATCTACGAAAATATGTTAGCGTGACAATAATCTACAGAGTCAAACTGACATACTCATCGTTTGGCATCCCCCGGACTCCATTTATCCCTCCAAAACTTCAAAACATCGCTGTTGCTCATTTCCAGCGTCGAGACGATGTATCTTCATCCGCAGAACCGGCATAAGTAATGCAGAATGCTCCATGAAAAGTGCCGAGTGCCTTGAAATGACCACGCTGGTTAGTGTCGTGCATGACATCAAATGCGAGGTAGGTACTCACCTTTCATCGCATTTCCACAGCTCACGACCTCTCCCAGCTTCGTCATGCGAAATGCAGCCTTTCTGTGGAGTATTCATCCGTTCCCCGCAACTCCCGCGCCCTCCTGGCAGCGTGTACGTGTTAGGTTTAAATGTGAAGTCTTTGTGTATGTGTAATTGTCTTCTCGGGTGTCATTTCAGTTTGTCGTAGGTAGTAAAAGGAAATATAGTAGTTTTGTTAGCTAAAAACTTGTGTAGAAGAGAATATGATACTCACGTTGCGTGAAACTGCCAACACGTCAACAATGCGCTTGAAAACAATCACAGGCGTTAGTATTGTGCAGGATGAGCAAAGCAGCGTAACTACTCACTTTGCGTCGCCTTTCCCACTCCTTAGGAGCCTGTCCCAGCTCGTAAACGCGAAGCGCCACCTTTCCGTAGCATGTCCATCTGTTCCCAACACTCCTGTGCCTATCCGACAGTGTTTACGCGCTTTCAGCGCTTTGATTAGAAGACAAATATTGATCTTATCACACAACGTGATTCATTATAACGTGACTACAATAGCTCCCGCCAGCCTTGTAATCCATTACTATTATAAGGCATCACGGATTTTTCCGACAAATGTATGCACAAACAACATCGGTCAACCACTTGTTTATCCACCCACTCAATCCCTTGGGTGGAAACGAGACGCCGTACGAATTTTTACATGCCGTGATGCATTGATGAGCTGTGGAGTTGAACCATTTCGACGCATTTATAGGGACGAGGGCAGGGGCAAGCAAAAACGCAGGAGGGGGAGGTGGAAGTGGAGCTGCGCCAAGATGGGGATGTCGATGACTCGGAAGAAAACGTTTGCAACGCTTGAGTTGAGTTTGTTCAAGCACCTACAGCAGAATGTGTAGCTTCCGGAGACCAATTTGGTTGTTCATCCTGTTATCCAACAGGCTGTTGACTTGGTAGGTTCTCTCCCTTCCTGTGACGCTGACGTCTCGCTGACTTGAATAAAGGCCCAATCGCGGTTGAGCCTCGAGAGGGCGTTGGAGGGCACTCAGGCGCAGTTAAGGAGCGAGGAGGTGGGATAGGCCTGTACAAAGGCATCTTACGTGCAGTGGAAGGCCTCTCGACATGCTCATATACCTCTGAAACGTTCTCAGAGTTACAAGGTAGGGTTCAGGCTGCCGTACGTACCCCCTTCCCTTCCCCATTATCACCACAAGGCTGACAGATCACGCGCAGATCGACCGCCTGAACCTGGAAGGATACGCGAACCTCGGACACTGGGTTACCGAGCTGGACAGGCGGATTGAGGGTATGTTTCTTCAGAGACTGACCCATATCATCCAGGTGTGGTGTGCCGAGTTCGATAGGGTTGAGATACTCGACGAGATCTTCTACTTGTTAGGGATGTTGCGAGTACATACTGTAAGAGGAGGGGGAATAAGCGGATGAAGGAGGAAAAGGTACGTTTCTCGTTCTCCTTTTGTTGCGAGTAAGGGCCGATGATCGCTGGGGGTAGTTCATGGAAAGACATATGACGCTGAAGCATATCGTTCACGAGATCAGGATATGAACCGGGTCATCTTTTTGGACCTGCCTATGGAGTATGCGAGGTCTTCGTGTACTCTTCCTTGCTTGGGTTTGAAGTTAAAGCTGAGCATGCTGGACAAGCATTATCTGCAGATTGAGGAGAATCCAGAGTTCTTGGTACGAGATTGGGCTACAGAGACATACACGTCATTGGTACGTCAAGGTTGTTCTGCATGCATAGACTTGTTCTGACGTCCCTTTTAGTTGACCCATTTCACTGACAACACTCTCGAACGCCCCTTCGCCCTAATCGAACATCTCATTGTACACAACCTGGGCGATGACCTCTACGGAAAGTGATTCTGCTTCTAATCATTCTCTTTTGTTCAATTGTCCATCTTTTCAGGTCGACGCAGTGCTTGAGAGCGTAAAAGTTGGGGCCGACGATGTAGCTGTATCGGAAATGCTCGTGCTTGAGAGCGTAGAAGTTGGGATCGACGATGTAGCTGTATCGGAAATGCTCGCGCTTTGCCTACGAACTCGAAGTCAGTGATAAAGAAGAACCTCGAAACCAATGAACAGCCTACGTCCAAGTGATGGTGGAGGTCCTGTCAACCAAGTAAGGAGGTTGGTTGATGATTGCGTGATAGATTTTCTGTGCAGTAAAGACGGTTTGACGCGGTTCGATCTATTGACGGCAGTTCCTCGGTGATTAGGTCTCTTCCATACCCAGGACTCGGAGGACCTACCGCAGCAGTGGCTAGAAAGTGGGCGAAAGCGATAAGGATTGATTTGAGATGCATGTTTCTGGTTGCTGGTAGCGTCTGCCCGTGTGACTTGTTATATACATAACTTACGGAGAAACATATAGGTTGCGTGATCCTCGGCCATCTTATTCCAGAGGCCATTTTGCCTTGTCAAGCGCAGAAAGATGCCGCCGCCATCAATCACAGGGGCTGCTGGGAGCTGCCCCTTCAAAAAACTTGATGTCGCCTAGGTAAAATGGTAGTTTAAATTTGTGTTTTACCTCCTTGTTCAGCCGAGCCTGAATAACTTCCACACGTTAGCGCACTTCTCAGATGGCGTCCTAGCACGCACCATGTTTTTTTGGCTCACACTGGAAAAGCCAAACTACCGTTATTTGGTTAACAACAATCAACTGTCTTTTGAAAGACTTCGGATAACGCCTACGAAGGAGGTGGAGGGTTGTCCGTGATGACGCCTGAGGCCACTGGATTTTGAGGCAATAGCTATCCCGATCCCCTCAAGTGCCCCGACAACGAGCAAAAAGGCTCATTCACTTCAGGCGCGACTGTCGGATCTCGAACTGCCCTAAGCGACGTTGTCTCCTTCTTGGGCCATTCTTCCGAGTCACCGCAAAGCTCAAAGAAAATAAGAAATCATCTCAAGGGATATACGATGCCATCGACGTCTCGAGTCTGCACCCGGCTGCATCAGGAAAACTACATGTCCACTTATGTCACTTAGGTCACTTTGACAAGTGGCCAAGTGACGAAAGTGAACTCAAGTGGCCAAAGGAAACTCACTTGGCTAAGTAGGTTGCTGCCTTGGCCAAGTGATTCCTCTTGATGCAAGTGAAGACTCAAGTGGGTAAGTCATATGTCAAGTTGATCTCAAAAGTGACCAAGTGACGAAATAGCAGTCTCGAACTGTTCCCGATTTCACACAGAATGGTATATTTAGTAGGGTAAAAGAGTATATTAAATGGTACCAATGTCTACCTACAATGTAGCAGCTCAAGGAACCTCTGAAATGCGTAGAAAGCCAAACATCCCACAACCCAACATCCCACCCTTCAGGCTCGCTCATGGAGAAACCAAAACGACCCGTTTCGCTCGTTCACAGTGCCAATGCCTATCCCCTCGATGCACGAATTGTCTTCGCGACAATTTGTTGATAGAATCGATGTGCTGGCGCCCCAGTTGTCCTCCGAGAATTTTGCTTCTTCCTTACGATCCAGAATGCCAGCAGTAGAGACCCCCGTGATCCAGAACTTGAACGCACGCTCAGCCTGCATGAAAATAAGATCACGCAGAAGGGAATGGAAGAGGAGACATACCCAAATGTTGAATATATAGGCACGGCGAAAACGGCGATGGGATTGCTGCCACCTCCATCTAGTGTGAATGAGCTCGGAATTTGGGCACGGTGAAGATGGTAGTGGGAGTCTCCATATGAGCATGGCAGAAGATGGTGTAGATGTAGTCGAGGTACCTGGGTAGGGTAAAGTCATGAGGAGGGGACAGGCGGGGAAGAAGGGAACAAACCAGATTGTTTTTGGCTTGGTGGGGATCTCCATATGAGCATGGTGGAAGGCGGTGTAGACGTAGTCAAGGAGGTGGTACCTGGGTAGGGTGAAGTTGTGAAAAGGGGACAGGCAGGGAGGGGAGAAGGGAACAGACCAGATGTCCAAGGTGTTCTTTCTGTCGTATTCTCCGCTGTATCCCAACATCAACTTCCTCCCCTCTAGAAGTACAAGAAAACCATCCTGCACTTGCGAAGGTCGAGCGTGTGATGGCTCAGGTTTGTCATCGTGTTCTGTGAGACCGTTAATATGTTTTGCATTTGTCTGTAAGATAGGATATGCATGTTAGCTTGCCCTATCGAAATACAAAGCAAAGAGGAGATAAAGGGAGGAAAGACGTACCCAAAACATCCTGCACCAGCAAATGTCGAGTGTGTGATGACCACGGTTCATTTTCCATGTTGGTGAGCGAGCAGGCACAAACTGCAGTGGGATTTGGCCAAGATTTGGCGAGGGCAGGTTGGACACCGCTCAGTTATGATGAACGTTGAAAAGAAAAACCGATGGTGAAAATTTCAACATCGTCACATGTCGTCGGACTTCGAATGGACTTAAGAATAATTTCTAAGCAGCGTGTTTGAGCATCCCGATGGCTTTTGTGAGTGCTGGGCACTTAAGTACTTATGACTTACTGACGTGAGTGGCTTGAATTGGGCTTGAATCCCCACTTGGACTCACTTCGAGTTTGAAAGGAAGTTGTGGCTGTAACATCAAGTGCCGAAGTGATTCAAGTGAGATCACAAGTGATGTAAGCCCAACAAGTGAAGTGTAGTTTTCCTGATGTATTCGAAGCAACCTTTGTCTAGAATGCATCGGGCCGACCTCAAAAGCTCAAAAAATTTGTCGAATCTCAATCTCAAAATAATTATCATCGTCATATCGCACCTTCAACTAAGTCGAGGGAAACAAGTTTCGGGATTAACCCACTCATAATATTCCTTTCCCGCGATCTTATGTTTCTGGCACACCCTGGAAAAGCCGAACTCCTGTTATCCAGTCAACAACAATCAAATGTCTCTTCAGGTATTAAAAGAATCCGGATAACACCTACGAAGGAGGTGGAGGATTGCCCATAATCATGCCTGAGGCCACTGGATTTTGAGGCAATAACCATCCTGATCCCCTTACGTGCCCTGACAACAAGCAAAAAAGGCTCATTCGCTTCAGGCTCAACTGTCTGATCCCAGACTACTCTAATTGAGGTGTTCTCTTTCTTGGGCTATTCTTCTGAGTCAGTGCAAAGCTCAAAGGAAATAAGAAATCATTTCAAGGGATATACGATGTGATCGATGTCTCGAGTCTGCACCCAGCTATTCGACTTTTTTGAAGCAGCCTTTGTCTAGAATGTATTTGGCCGGCCTCAAAAGCTCGGAAAATTTGCTGTATCTTAGAATAACTCTCAGGACATTATCGCACGTTTACGGGAAAAGAAATTTCTGGATTAAGCCACTCAACTATCTCCAGTAAGTAGTATTCCCCCATCCCCCCGCACTCTTGTGTTCTGACATGTTGCTTCTCAGGCAGGGGATATTTTCTCTGTCATAAGGCACCGTGTGGAATAATTGACACAGTAATGACTTCGCTTTTTTTTGGCGAACTTCTCCAGGCACCACAGCAAAAATATTACCTGCTATCTGTTCAAATCGGCTAACGTTGGCGGAATCGCTTCTTGATATGTAGATTCATAACGGCCTTTGGGGATCAACATGGTTCAACTATCGAGCATTATAAAGGCCGATGAGAGTTTGTAAATTTTGCATTTTCCCCACAAGAAAAATGTTTGTATCCGCTCTCTTCACCATCACTCTTTTACAGACAGTTAGTGCGTCGATAGGACCTACTGCGAACATCCATATCGTCAACAATTACATACAACCAGATGGCTTCAATTGCTCATACGTTTTCCAGTACCTTTCGTAAATGTTTTTAACATTCCATTTTTTGCTACTTCACAGCGCCATTCTTGCCGGTACCTCGTCGGCGGTTGGGACATTCCCTGGACCTCTTATTGTTGGCACCAAGGTTGTACATTTTCTTCCCTGGTGAACCTCGAGTTAACATTAATCCTCAGGGTAGCACATTCTTCTTGAATGCAGCCGATCACCTGACCGACATGATGATGTTGAGAAGCACTAGCATCGTAAGCTTGCTTTATTTTCACCCCTCTTCATTTTACTAATCCGATGTTTTCTTAATCTATAGCATTGGCATGGCTTGTTCCAGAATGGCTCCAGCTGGGCAGACGGTCCAGTTGGAGTGACACAGTGCCCCATCACCCCTGGTAACTCATTTTTGTACCAGTTCTCTGTCCCTGATCAGGCTGGAACCTTTTGGTATCATTCCCACCATTGTACGTTGACCAGATGTTCTTCCCTGACTCATCCTCACATTCTCGTTTCAGCCACACAATATTGCGACGGCTTGAGAGGCACTTTGGTGGTTTGCGATCCTTCTGACCCATACAGCCATTTGTTTGTATTTTGTCCAATCGGCTGTTTCTTGCATCTACTAACTTTCGCCTATAGGTATGACTTCGATAATGGTAATGGCGCTGTCAATTTCGGGAGATACTTGCTAATTATTCTGAATTAGAATCAACTGTCATTACACTCGCGGACTGGTAAGAATTTTTTCTGCCGAGTCACCATTTCTAAAATTAAAATTCAAGGTACCATACCCCCGCTCCATCCGCCGGCCTCGTCCCTACAGCAGACTTGTCATTGATCAACGGGAAGGGTCGTTACTCTGGCGGACCTACTTCTTCCCTTTCGACCATCAGCGTTCAGCACGGCGTGCGCTACCGCTTCTGCTTAGTCTCGATTTCTTGCGACCCCAACTTTACTTTCTCCATTGACGGACATAACATGGCATGTTTCGCATTTCTTTCTTCTGAACTGCTCTGTTAATAATAAGACATACAGACCATCATCAAAGTCGATGGCATCAACATTCAACCAACAACTGTGGACTCCATTCAGATCTTCGCTGGGCAGAGATATTCTTTCATTTTGACGGCTAATCAGCCAGTTGCTAACTACTGGGTACGTGCACTACCTAATCTCGGGACACAAGGCTTCTCCGGGGGAGTCAACTCGGCCATTCTCGGCTATTCCGGTGCTCCTAACTCGGATCCTACGACAAATGAAACTACCAGCGTCATTCCCATGCTTGAAACCAACCTCCACCCGTTGACGAGCCCAGGCGCTCCAGGAAATCGAGTTGCTGGAGGTGCTGATGTCAATATCAACTTGAATATCGCGCTTAACTTCACGGAATTTCTATTCACTGTGAATGGGGCGACTTTTCAACCACCTACAGTACCCGTTTGGTACCCGTTCTTCTACAGATCCTAAGTGCCGCCAAGACCACACAGGATTTGTTGCCTAATGGAAGTGTATATACCCTTCCTCGCAATAAGGTTGTTGAACTTTTGCTGCCCGGAGGCGCGGCCAGAAGTCCCGTATGTGCATCTTTTTGAAAATTAAAATAATATTTAATCAACGATTTCCCAGCATCCCATTCATTTACATGGAGTATGTTTGTGTTTTCTCTGGAATGCCTACTGATGAGCACAACTTCAACAAAAATAGACTGCCTTTGACGTTGTGCGTAGTGCGGGAAATTCAACTTACAATTATGTAAACCCTGTCTGTCGGGATGTGGTTAGTATAGGAGGAGCCGGAGACAATGTCACCCTTCGTTTTACTACGGACAATCCGGGCCCATGGATTTTGCATTGGTGAAAGCACTTCATTTTCATATTAATCATGAGCTCAAATTTTGTTCAGCCACATCGACTGGCATCTCAACCTGTATGTCTTTCGATGACTTCAGTGTCAATGGCTTTCACCGATAAATTATAATACTTTCCAGCAGATTGGCGGTTGTGTTTGCTCAAGACGTTCCGTCGATCGACTAGCACCCATGCTAGTATGTTCCTTTCGTGTCTAGACCTCTAGTTTTTGATTATATTTTGACACAGCCGCATGGGATGAACTGTGCCCCACCTACGACGCTCTTCCCACTGAATCCTTCACATAATTATACAACCACTGTCCTTGAAAACTGTCCTTAAAACTTGTATCGGACTTGAAGGACAATCTGGTTATATTTTTTACTTACGGTGTATCTACCAACTCTTTTCCCTTGTTTTGTATATATGATGTATCAGACACGTTGCAGTAGAGAAAGGACAACCTACTAATGTTTTTGAAATATGTAGGAATACTAAGACTCGGACAACAGTAGGAGGTACCATGACATACCTACATACATCATACCCGTGGCCTCATTTATATATGAAGTGAGTAAAGCACGATTTTTTTGTCTTGAGATTTAGCATTCAATTTATTGGTTATCATTATTATTTCTATGATGAAGAGGCAAGTGGTTCTTCAATCAACATGTCAGCACGCAGTACACTTCAGGCCTGGCGCTTCTGAGTGCGAGATGACCTCAGAGGCCAATTATTTGACTGATGGTAATTGGCCTGAGAGGTTGCTATCACTACGGCGCCTTCCTGATCAATCCAAATTAGGAAGGGGATCAGGCCTTCATCTTAGTGCCCAAAGAGCCCAAGGTGTTCAAAGTGTCAGGTATTGAGCCTCTGACCGCGCAGAGTGCCCGGAGTGCCCAGTGTGACCTTCACTGCCCAAGCGCAAAGACCTCTCACCACCCAAGCGCCCAGCGCAGCGTGATGTGCTGTGTTTTTTATTTGTATGTTACACAGAATCATTCCAAGAAGGTTTTGGTATTAAAAATATGGAATTATGGGAATACATACAATATATGTCAAGAATATAGTCCAAGAAATAGTAAAAGATTCAAGTCCAAAATGACAGTCCAAAATGCATACGAAATCAGTTCAAAATGCATACAAGAACTAAGAGCTACAAGAAAAATGTCAGAGGATTGAGTGAGCACAATCTTGTGCAACCGCCAACTTGAAGCAGAATATGATGAAGCGACGACCTCATGTCAGGCGAGAGGGTCCAGGCTCCCCTTCAGCTGGCTTTGCTGAAGGGGTAGGGAAGGCGCCTTGAGGGAAGTACAGGTGAGGCGGATATGGCGGAACTGGTGCTGCTGAGTCAGAAGCACTACCTGTGGGACGGTCAGGGTTCCAAGGCGGCATCCCTGGAAAGGTCCAACCAGGGGGTGGGGCCGGGTACCCTGGCGGAAAACTGAACGGAGGAAAGAAGCCATATGGCCACTGGTATCCCTGTGTAGGATTGACCCTGGCCCCTTGTGTCGGGGGTGGAGTAGGCATGGACATCGCTCCAGGCACCGGTGTGTCCTCCACAGAAGAAGTGGGTTTTGGGATGACGATTGGTTCCTCCAACGGTTTATCTGCCATCGCAAGCACTGAACTCATCGGTCTGTTGACATTGGTGCAAGGTTTCTTGCTGATTACTGCTTGCGACCTTTCAGTATCCACTGAGCATTTCGAAGCAGACTTGGACAGGGAGAGGGCTGGATCGCTGAAGATATGAATGGGTCCAAATGCTGACTGTTTGGACGTTGTCGTAGACTTGTGGATTGTCGACATTGAGGGAGCGACAGGTTGCATGGACACGCCCTTAGGATTTCCAGAAGCTCTGGCCTCTTTCACGGTGAATGGGTCTCTGGCAGCTGAGATGGCTGGAGGTTGATGCTTGATGGGGCATGGTTGGATGCGCACACTACCAGCCAGGTTTATAGTGGGGGGTGATGGTTTGGACATAGACATGGCAGCGACAGCACAAGACACTGCACTGAATGCAGAGATCGGTTTGAGTTGGTCACTGGGGGCAGCTGGGGCAGCACCCAATCCAGAGGCAGTGCCTATGGCAGTGGTCTTAGTCGCCATAGCCTTACCCTTTCCCTTGAGCGCCTTCGCTGTCATCTTGGCCTTCTCTGACTTTGAAGTCACTGTCGACTCCAAAGTATCATCGGCATCGGCATCGCTGATGTCACTGGATGAGACGATTTCCTTGGACTTCTTGGTGGGTCGCCTTTTCACTGGTGGAACCACAGGTTCGTCATCACTATCATCGCTGCCATCAGGTCTTCTTTCCTTTTTGCTTTTGGGGTGCACTCGACAAGGTGCCATAGTCGGGCGATCCGATGGTGGACTCAACTTGATGTCTATGATCTCATGTGCTGGTGGAAGTTTTGCGATGTGAGGGCGCTTTTCCTGCAACCTGTCCATGATCTGATCGATGTGACCATCCAGATAACCACGACGAGTGACTTTCGTCACTGAGCTGGGACCTGGCGGTGCATGTACAAGGGCACTTTGCTCGTGAGTAGCACTAGTAAAACAATATAATAAGTCGGTAGTATAATGGTTGAATGGCAACAACACTTACTTTCTGGATCCACGCATACAACACAGATCCTCATAGCGTCAGATGCAAAAGACTCAGCGAAATGCCGGATGGCACCAATGCTGAGGTCTTTGATTCCCTGGCTTGTGTTTCGTTTACAAATTACAGTAGCGCCTTTCGCAATTGAGCACGGAAAATCAACTCCTCTGGTCCAATTTTCAATCCTAAGACTGGCAGGGGCGAGGGTGGTGGACAGCTTTGACCAAGGAATAGATTCGAAACTAAGACGGAGGTCATATGGCTCTGCAACATCATGTCAGCACCTGTTGTTCCACAATCAATTGTCGTGACATACCCAGAAGGTTTTGAAGGCCCGTTTTGATGATCACCTTCACCTTTTTGAGGGTGAGGCCAGAGCTTTTACTTGTGTTGTTGTTGTTGTCGCCGCTGTTGGAAGAGTCCCTGTCTGGTCCAGGCTTCTTAGGATTGGTCGTGTTAACTGCCTCTGCCGAGCTCTTCTGGTCTGTCTCGAGCCTTGTTTGGAGTCCCAGGGAAATCCTGTTGCTGCAAAAAATGTAGATTAGGGGTGAACTTCGACTGACTTGGGAGGTTTGGCCTACCAGACGTGGTTCTTAAATAGACCACTCATTGTGTCATGATCCATGTGAAGCCGCTCCTGCAAGAACTGACAGGATAGCCGTTAGCGGATGTGTTGATAGACCAGGAGATGGGACATACCTCCTCCGCACCTGCCGAAAGGTGAACTTGAGAGAGACCGATGTCCTCATGGATAGAATTTCCCACCAAAACGAAGAGGGATTCAAAGCTGTCTTGTTCGGCTGCTTTGTTTGTGACCCTTTTGAGCTGACTGACCAGCCTGTCAAACTTTCGCGTGCGTTGACTGATGGTTGAGTAAACATTCGATGTGGCGAGGACTTCGTCGTAGGCCTCAAGGATCTCATGCCATCTGGGCTCATGTTCTTTAAAACCAACCCAGCAAGTCTGGCCTAAATCATTGCCATCAGTCAAGAACATATTAAGGTAAAAGAAATACCTACAATTTGCCCTTGAGTCCCCAATCCATCTACATTCCTTCTCCTGATTAGCTAGAAAGTATTTCTGGTATTTATTCCACATTGAGCCTGTACATTCATGTGTGTGGGTGCGCTTCCACAACGTGATGATGTTCTTGTGTGTACAGCCTGTCTTGTTAGCAAGTTGGTTGATGATGTCGTCGATCTTCTGGAAGCCGGTGTTCAACACATCCCATGACGAACTTGAGATATGACCAGCTTGCTGACCAGGGACTGGCTCCTTACTTTCATCCATGTTTCTCATCACATCGTCCACCAATGGACTATCATCCGAGAACGGAGAGTGGCGGTTTCAAAATGTGGTGACTCTAGTCCAAAAAAGGGCAGAACGGCAGGCTACAAGACATGGAATCAATGAGATATGAGTTCTAAGCAACATGGAGAAGATGTGAGCGAAGTAGATGCCAGCGGAGTACAAGATATAGAGACATTGCAGACAAAGTCCAAGAAATGCAAGAGACCGGTGTAGTGTTTAAAGGTTCAGTTCAGTCCGGTTTTTTGCCCCGAAAACGCGCAACCGTGGACCGCAACCGGTCCAGGACCGACCCAGATATTGAGGGAACCGAACCGAACCACCTAGGACCGGTCTTTTGCGGTCCATGATACCGGTTCAGACCGATCCAGACCGGTTTTTTTGCGTATAATTTATTATACCAATATAAACCATTTGTATCTCAACCATTATTACTCTGAAAAATAAACGGGTTATATAAAATAGTAAAGCATATAAATACCCATCATTCTACCAATTTTCAAGAGATTTAATGAAGATTTGACATAGCTATGACTGAAACCGAATTACATCTCCTAGAGACTTGGGTAAAATATGGATTTGGTTATATCTTTCTCAATTCTTAACCGTTTTTGATGAAACAAAAACCCAATAAAAGGAAATAAACGTGGTTACAAGGCTATGTAACGCACGTGACCGTTTAACCGGTTGCTTAAAAGATTTTCGAAATGAGGCAACCGGCAACCGGACCAACCCCAAATTGGGGCAACTGCAACTGAAAAAAAGACTGGTCCATGGTCCGGTTCAGTTCAGTCCACCAGTTTTTTGCGGTCCTATGGACTGAACCTTTAAACACTAGACGGGTGCGAATGGAGTCCAAGAAGTGTGGTATGCAAAGAGAGGAATGCAAGGGAGGGGAGAGCACTTAAATAGGGTATAACATATGCAGTAAGCATGCAAAGGGTTGAAGGCTGCAGTGATTGGCATGATGAAAATAGTCACCCTACAGCCACGCAATGGTGTTGGTGCGCTCTGCATGGGCTAACGCCTCAAAAGCGGCACTTCGGGTGGTATATTTTCTCTGGAACACATTGGGAATGCTCACACAGACAAGGTCTGCAGCCTCCTGAGCACAACATCAGATTGGCATGACATGGCTCAATGACAGACTTACCAGGCTCCGAAAAACACCAACTGTGCCCCTGCCTTTGAAGACCACATAGGATTAGTCCTTCACCGTCTCCACCACATTGTGGGCTGCGCAGTTCCCACAGGCAATGACCAAAATTTTGTCATTGGTGCAAGTGCCACTGCTGAGAAGGATCCCATCAACGGGAGGCAGTGGCAGGGTAGCGGGGGGCAATTCTTGCGCAGAGGAAACGGGGGAGTCAGTCACTAAGAGATGGTCAGCTTCTGAAGGGAGACAAGGGAGGAAAGAGGAAAGACAGGCTTACATTCAACAACCATTCGGCTGGGGCTGACAGGCTGGCTGTCAGTGTCGGTAAATATGCTATCATCTGGGGTCTTTCTTAGTTTCACGCATATACATATCGGCAAGAGTTACTTGCCGTTACCAAGCTGTCTCTGTCCCATAACAATGCTTGGTGCATTGGCCAAAACATTGTCTGGAGTAGGAGTATGCATTAGTTGAGAATGCAACAAGAAATATTGACGAACTACCTGAGGCTGGTCTGGCACTGGGCCTGGAGCTGGAGGAGCTGGGTTGGAGGTGGTCTGGGGTGTTCGTGAGTGAACGGACTTCGGTCAGAGGGCGGAGTGAGTCGGTGGACTGACCAGGACACATTGAGCAGGCAAAGAAGATGAGGGAGAACGGAACAAAGTTAAAGTGGGGGAATGATGCAGAAGAGGGTTAAGGGGTGAAGTCGGGGTTGGTTGGGTTTATATATGATCAACTGTACAGTTTATCAGTAATGGCCGTAAGCCACCCAACAACACCCAAAAATAGATTACAACAATGTAGACTTATGTATGAAGGTCAGGACATTGAACCAAGGCAGATTTTTTTTGGTTGGACAAGGGAGCAGCACAGTCTGCAGTTACTGAAATGGATTGACCACACGATTGTTTTTGGTTCATCAAAGATGATCGCGCTAATCTCCATGTTTTAAGCGGAACTAATCTCCATGATTAAGAGATCTGCCTGATCTGTAACACGGTCCGAGAGATTACCGGTAAACAAACGACGCTCTGAGGTAAAGGAATTTCAAAAGCGTTGCGTTTTTTTTTTTTTTTTTTTGTGTTTTTCTCTATGAAAACAAAACCAAATAACATGATTTCAGTATATTCAGAAAGCTAAAAGAAAGGGCTACAATTATTGTATCGTGGGAAAAATGACCAAAAAAGGAAGGTGCATCCTGTACTACTTATAAGAATCAGATATAGACTACCAAGTTTACTGATAGACTACAAAAAAGTCGGACTTAGACTACACAGTTTACTGATATACTATAAAAGACTACAAAAGTCGAAATTAGACTACAAAGTTTACTAATACCCTACAAAAGACTACAAAAGTCGAACTTAGACTACAAAAGCGTGGACTTAGACTACATAGTTAGGGTTAGAGTCAAAAAGTTATCTTGACTACAAAGTTTGTAGTGTGCCCTTTTTCATTAAAAAAGTTTGTAGTGTCCGCTTTTTGAGACTACAAAAGTTGTAGTGTTGCGCTTTTTCATTAAAAAAGTTTGTAGTGACCGCTTTTTGAGACTACAAAAGTTGTAGTGTTGCGCTTTTTCATTAGAAAAGTTTGTAGTGTTGCGCTTTTTCATTGGAAAAGTTTGTAGTGTCCGCTTTTTCATTAGAAAAGTTTGTAGTGTCCGCTTTTTGAGACTACAAAAGTTTTAGTGTGCGC